GTATGTATGTATGCATGTGTGTATGTATGTATGTATGTGTGTGTGTGTATGTATATATGTATGTATGTATGTATGTACGTTTGTATATATGTATGCATGTATGAATGTATTTATGCGTATATATATATTATACAAAACAAATATATTCGAAACATAATATTCGCGCCCGTACACATAAGACTGTATAATAATTCCTATACTCAAGTATAAACAGTCTTTTGCGGACCATTTGACACACATATATGCATATGTCGGCTGCTCCATATGATATACAAGCTGTGGCACAAGAAGATCGATCTTAACGCGTGTATACACCACAAAGTTCTGGACATACCGAGTGGGCAACGAACCGCCGAAGCTCAATACACTCATTTGAGATATGTGTTTGAGTTAACTTCTCCCATGTTGAAACTTAATACACAAATCGAAACTATAGGAAATTGTATATACAAAATAACATACACATACACGTATGTGTATACACACACACGCAAGACTTGTAGAGTCGCATATATCCATACATGCGTACATATAAAGACTTGTCAAGTTACATATCAAATATATAATCGAATACTTCTCCCCGGGCTGAAATACATTCCCTTATTGAAACTATAGGGATATGCACATACACATAAACACGCGCAGACTCATACACGTGTACATGTACACATACATGTATTCATACGAATCACAAACGCAAATGGACTATTTAGAGTTATACATAAACATGTTTGTATAATGATATCTTCTTCCAGGCTGAAACTCGGTACACTAATTGAATTATGGGGACAAGTAAGCATACACATAACACACTCAACGTTGTACAGAATTATATACGTAATCAGTTACCTTCTCCCAGGCTGACTTAACCGGTCTTCGCTTGTTCTCCACGGACGCATCCGTTGCGGAAGGAGTACGCCCGCGAGAGTATGGTGATGGTCGTGTGGACATTATGAACTGTGAGATTGTGGCGACATTTTTACGCAGGAAATAAACTTTTGCTTGTTTATTCACTTACGTGTGTATTCACTGCCACTTCGCGAGCCCCGCGAGAGGGCGCTGCTGCAGCTTACCTCAGGGCTCAGGCTCAGAGGCTGTCAGAATTCATAGGCTCTGCCGCTCAGGGCAGAGCCTCAGGCCTCAGGCCTCAGGGCTCACCGCCTCATCAGTCACAACGGCTCACTGCTCAGGCGGAAATTCTGAATTGTACATAGTAGGGTTCAATCTGCTCCAAAAAAAAAAAATGGGTTTTGGGAAGTTCCCTCTTGTTGATTATTCAGGGGGCTATGCTCTGCTGGACCACTTGGACATGAATATTTACACACAAGTAGAGGCTATCCACATGATGTATTTGATATAAATACAAGTGCATAAACGTAGCCCTCTAAATAGTACAAGGCTATGGTATGCACATATATGCGTATGTATTATATTCAGTATTTTTCACTGCTGGTGCAGCGTATTATATAGATCACTAAGACTAATCAGGACTACAGATCTCTAATCGGGACTGATGCTTACAGCAAAAGTGACTATTCAGGCGGAGATAAAGCAGTACTTATCAATTGCTTCGAAGCTGACGACATCACCAGGGATGTATACCGTACTATAGGCCTAGCAAAGAAATGTTCTCGGCTTATCATCTGCCAGACGTGCCGCTTTTAGTACTGATTATTCGTCCCGGTTTTCTTTGCCTACTTTACTGAGCACCTTCCATATGTCACAGAATCGAAGATCTTAAAGTGAAGTTAAAAATATTCTCTGACTTGAGAAAGGTGTTCAAAACAATAATAGTCTGAACCAACCGACAGAGTTATGTGAATCTTCGTAAGGTTGCATTGTAAATTTATCTCGGCTTACAACATTATATACATATTATTGCAATTGTTTGAAACAGCCGAACGCAAGTATGTAGACTGTGAAAATACCTCTAGGTTCCAGTGTAGTACGATCGTAGCTTGACGGCCCAGGTGCGGATTTGTAGTCTTCTACCATATGTCACCAACTATAGGTTCTGAACACCTCAAAGAACAACCCGGAATTGTCGGGGACTGTGTTACTTATCTACACCTAAGTATAAATTCTAAACCCCTCTATAGATCTCGAAAATCTATTTCAAAATTATCAACCACAGCGAGCTTCTTGTACGCCTTATACAAGTAGAGCATCGTACGTTGTTGAGAGTGTTTTCCGACTTCTGCCTCTGTTTAGCAGTAGATCTATCATGTTTGTTTAAGACTCTACACTTTAATAACTCTAAAAAACGAGTCAACTAATGCATATCCTTGATGATACACAGTATCGTTCGAGATCAGAAAAGACCCAACCGCAACAAGGGAAAAGAAGTTTGCCTTTATTAGTCATAAGGCATTCAGGTTGCCGAAACTTATACACGTGATAAACAATCAACTGCCTCGCTTGTCAACCTACATATACAGGTATATGCTATTATATACCAAACCCGCTACGCTGGTGCCCGGATCCCGATGATTGAAGCAAAAATGCATATCACACTCGCCTTAAATATCGACTCCAACGCACGCACGCATGCGAGCTATTTACAGCGCTTTCGAAAAGACAAGATTTAGATATCATCAATATCGAGATCATCGTCATCTTCGTCGTCATCCTTCGTTGCCTGGGCCGTGTTGCCCGGCATTCCTCGTTGCATTCCATAGGCAACCTTAGGCGTAGGGGCTGGTGATTTGGACTGCTCGATAGTCACACTGTCATCATCCTCGTCATCGTCGCCGGATCCATCGTCGTCACTGTCTGATTCGGCCGTTGCCAACCAGTCCAGCACAGGCTGGGCCAGCTTGATGATCTGCTTGAAGGTGTCTTGCGATGATACGTACTTGGAGGAGTTCTGCTTGCCCCAAGCGATAAGAACCTGCGACCAATCGCGGTGCAATTAAAAATATAATCAGCAAGCAGAACAAATTCTTGTTTCGCTGACCGACGGCCCTCAGACACAAGGCAGTGCGCAGGAAATCCACTGATGACATCGCAAAACATTACAGTACAGCATACAGCTTGTAAGGTGCAATTACGAATACGCGTGCGACAGCCACAACCCCTCAAGTAAAAGCAGCTACATTCCCAGCAGCCGCTACGTGCCATGTCCCGATTTGCATTCGGTCATCAAAATATCAAGTAACGTACCTCCTCATCGACGATATCTTCATCGTAGTATGTCTTGATGATATGGGGCACTTTGCTCATCAGTGAAGGATATGTCACGCCAACTAGTCGCTCAGTTGACCCCAATAAGCACCTACGGATAGATGATTGAATGAGAAATGTATATGTAAGCTGGTGAACAAGGTTAAATTTTAGGTAGTAGTTGGGTTTGAGAATGTCATATATGATCTGCAAGACTATGTAAGCATCAAAGAGTACCACGACTACAGACAGGAGTGAAGCGCGTGAGGTTCTTCACGATAATTAACAACCATTTGGGACGCGATTATGCGAAGAGAAAGTGGACATACTCGAGAACTTTTAACAAACATCCTCCTGCGTTTAAATATAGAACAAAAAAGTTGTTTTTTTCGGTCGCACAAATCACACTTACATTCAGACACACTCACATATAGTTCCCACACAAATAACTTACATCTGTGCTTTCGGGTCTTCATAGCAGAAGCGTTGCAGCATAGTCTTCTGCTTCTTAATCTGCGCCAAGATATTCACGTCGCTGAACTTCGCCTCTACAATGACCGCAAGACTCTTCACCTTGACATCCAAGCGCTCGGCCTCCTCAAGCAGTTCCTTATCAGTGTGTGCCCCGTTCTTCATAAAGGTATTGAACAGTTCCAAACGCTCTTTCTCGCCCATATCAAAGAAATCAGCCTCGGTGTAGGTCAGATTCTTGGCTCCCTCTCCCATGTCCACACGCAGATCTTCCAGACGTTGACGTACGGCCTCAGCAGAGGTATCGACGGTCCAGTCTTCGTCATCGTCCTCAGAAGCGTGCACTTCTTCGGGCTCGTCACCGCTGTCTTTCTCCTTCTTTTTTCTCTTGGACTGTGTGCGCCATAAGATGATCAATGAATGGTGATATCACTCAAACTAAACACAATTCGCACCCAAACTATAATGCTCCTTTTCTTTACATTGTATGCGCAAAGGTATATTGTGGTTGAATTTAGATCACATAGGGAAACACAAATTCCAGTAGAGTCCACATCCGTAGCGTTTAGAAGATTCGTAAGGGACGTTTCCCACATTCAACTCGCACGGCGAACCGGCTGGACAATCGGCAAATAGCAAGCGATCGAATCATGCTCATCGATAATCTACGCAAAATACATTTAAATAGAAAAGGCAAAAAGGTTCTGACCTCTACAGACCAGCATGCCGCTAAACTCGTTCCAACTTCCGAACCTCCCGGGCAAAACGCACGAACCTCAATAACACAAGGTTGGCTTTAGACTATCTTACAAACTGACCTATGTGTGTTCAGAAAGCCTATCTGCCACTACAACAGCTCACCCAACACATCATCGTGGCAATCAGTATACTGTTATAAATAGCACATGAAATGTTCTGAGAACGTCAAGACTATTCACTTTAAAAAGTATTCAGTACATGTCCGCATGATCACAAACAACACGAGCACACAAGAAAATCATTAACGTAGACGCATACCTTCTTCTCCTTCTTGTCGGATTTGCTTTCCTTGTCCTTGCGATCGGGTCTGGGTGATACTCCGTTCTGTGCAGCGAGTTGCTTGGCAGCCTTCTTGGCAGCTCTACGATCAGCTTTCTCAGCGTCAGTTTCGTCTTTTCTCAATTTTTTCTTCTCGCCGTCTTTATCACCATGTCTCAATGAATGTGCGTATTCGGCGCCCGGGGGATTTTTGCGAATATAATTGGCCAAATTATGGTTACCATCGAATTCTCCGCTCCATCCACAAGCCACACACTTAGCCTTCAGATCACCCTTTTTACTCACGCGCACATCAGTTTCCGGATTATCGCACGACGGACAGAGTACATACTTCTTGATAAACTTATCAAGCAAGTCCTGCAACTCTTTCGCATCATACTTTCCATTGACAATGTACTTCTCATGCTTCGCATCCATATGAGTCTGTGAACCGAGCTCACAACCGAACCACTTTGTTGGGTAGGATGGAGGTCTTCCAAGAGCCTTTCCAATGTCGCTCATATTGGCAATGACGGTCTTAATACCGTTACCCTTGCCTTCGACCTTCGCAATGAGCTTGGGCATCTTGTACCGGTAGAAGGCATCGTCCGTGTTTGAGTTGATGTTAATTAACCCCGCCATGATTGCTCAATTCTCGAGGCAATCTCTAAAATGCCAATCTGCTAAGCAATAATTCGTGTTCGAAACCAAAACCCTTCGAATTACATCAAGATTTAGCCAGCGTTATTGTATATATTGCAGCGGATGATGGCAGCCTTCAATGACTGTCCGGTGAGACAACGATTGTCTGAGCGAGGCATTCTGTAAAAATATAAAACGGAAGAAGGCTATAGTTTAGATTCAGAGGATATCCGGCCCACACGCATATCAATAAAGATATCAACAGAAATCGAACAAGTTGTGAACATGGGAATCGCGCCCCGAAATCATAAGGCTTCTGGTTGAGGATACTGAACATTTTGTAGTTTGAGGTATGTGCTAGGGGGGGGGAAGGCGACCGCATAAACCTTATGTAAATAAAAAAGGGTTGAAATGTAGCATGAACCATTTTGAAACGATCCAATGAGACTATATAACAAAGATGGTTCAAGATCATACTACATGAAGTGCGCCACATATTAACTTGCGAAACTGAGGTTAATATAAACGCCAAAAGAATTAGTTAAGTTGTGAAATCAACATATATGTATATACAAAATAATAACATATATATATATATATATATATATAATAATATAATATATATATAATATATATATATATATATATATATATATATATATATATATATATATATATTGATATACATACATACATAAATACATATATATACACACACATGTATATAATTAATATAAATGTATACAAATATATATATATATAATTAATATAAATGTATTTACATATATCTATATATGGATATATATTTATATGAATATATGGTATATATATACGAATATCGATCTATTATATATATATTTATATAATTATTTTTGTCCATACCAATATTTATATACATATATGTACACACACACACAAATATATAAATATATACATGCATATAACTGTTATACAAATATATATATATATATATTACATGCACATATAAGCATATAGTGTATATTGATGCAATAATAAAATTAAATTTGTATAAACCTATACTTATTAAGATATGTGTATATTCGAGTAGTTTCATATATACATACAATGACTCTTGACATTGTTTTTACAATATTTTCACATTCTCAAGCAAGGGCAATTACAGAGTATAAACTATGTATTCATTTTTGTATACGTCGATATTTACCGTGAGGACAGCCATAAACAAAACCGGCAAATAGTAAACTTCCATACGCAAGTAGATACGATCTTGATTTATTCTGAATGCTCGCTACCAGAGGAACATCCAACTAGTGGTTTCTAACGTTTTAACACTAGGTTTCTATATCTTTCCATTCTATTTTTCTATTTACTTTTAACAATATGTAGGTCACTTCTCTACCCTTAAAGGTTAAAATTTGTACTACAGAGTGCATACTACAATGACAATCTCTACTATGACACCCTTCCATATTCTCTGCATCTCTCGTTCTAATTAAAACACTGATGCCTACGTGTTTATGAGTGTGCAGTTGCCCAGCATACATCATACCGGCGAGCACCTACCACGGTGACTTGATCGTTTAGATCGACTTAACGGTCTTTCCTGACACAAACACGTGCGTGATGTTCCTGTCATCTCCCAGGTAAAGGAACTTCTGCACAATGTCACTTACAGTGTCTCCCTCGTATAGGTCAAATGGCGATCCCTCTACATCCGGGTTCACCCGCAAGGCATCAAACTGCTTGCCTACCTCAAACGTTCCCAGGGTATCATCCATGCCCAACACAGTCGCCCCTCCCAGCGTCGCCAAATAGAACACCTCTTGATACGATAACGGCACTCGAGATTCGTCCTGAAAGTGTACAGCCGTAGAGCAGATGATGGCCTGGCGCATAGAGTCCAGCATAGAGCTGGAGTAGCCCCCACTCACGTCTGTGCCTAGTCCCACCTTGATATCGCTCTCAAGTAACCGGCGCACGTTCAAGCAGCCGCTGGTGAGTGAAAAGTTCGAGTTCGGGCAATGTGATACACCGGCGTTGTTCTTGCGGAACAGGTCGATCTCCTCGTCGCTGAGGTGCACGCAATGGGCCATAATAGACCGGTCTGTGAGCAGGCGGTGGTCATCGTACACGTGTGCATAGGCCACACTTTCGGGATGTAGGGTCTTGACCCACTCAATCTCGGGCTTGTTCTCACACAGGTGCGATTGGATGGGGATGTCGTACTTGGCGGCTAACTCGCCCAGGCCGTGCATGAGTTCTGAACTGCAGGACGGCACAAATCGAGGGGTGATGACGGGGGTGATTCTCTCCGAATAAGGCCCGTTGATGACGTGTTGGATGAATCTGCAAGTGCGAACGAGATATTATGATAAGTAATGAGCAAGATATAGCAGCGATAAAAGGAGATGGAAGTTAACGACAACGAAGGCATGGCTCAGAAAAGACACGAGGTTCATACAAAAATCCATCGAATGTAAAGTGGTAACATAAAACATCGCCGTAGTGGTAGGCGTATTCACACACCTAGTTCGATCAAACAGTGAAGAAAACGATGGGTTTACGAATATATTCACATATGTAACAATCGCTGCCCAAGGCCTAATACGTGGTGTTCACTTGTCAGAAAGCACTATTATTCAGTTTGCAACACATTAATTAAGCCAACTGCAAATAATCATCTTAGCTGGTACGCTACGCACGTGCAAGCATTGAAAAACGAAAAGTTACATGTTCAATACACCCCGATAGGCGAACCACATAACTAGTGAACGTCCAAATACACGGGAAAAGGAAGTAAACAGGCCATATAGAACATACTCTTCCGTATCGCCCAAGGAATCGCCGGTCTCTTCCCTGTAGTAGTCAGGCGAGTTGCGGTCCATGTTGACCTTGCCTACAAATGCTCGCTGACCAATCTCACCAATGGTTTCAACAAGGATCTGGTGGAAATGACGGGGTATATTGAGAATGCGTAAGTATAGTCCATAAGTATGCAAGTCTATACACGCACCAGAAGCACAAATATACACGAGACGTGTACCAAACGATGGGCGACGTTATCACGGAACGATAGCTGTAGCATGGTTTTGGGGTTTAGGATTTGCGCTTGCGATTTACCTTGCTAGCCTCCAGGTGGATGGTGGCGAAGTATGTGTTAGTAGTAGTTCCCGAGTCAAGTGTGCGTTTCACAGCCTTCTTGTACGTTTCCTTGGCAAATTTCTCGCAGCTATACTTAGACTCCACCGGGAATGTGTATGTATTCAACCAGTCCAACAGAGTCAAATCATAACCTGTGCCTGCAAACGCATACTGTGGTGCGTGGTGGTGCGTGTCTATTAAGCCTGGCATAATAAACTCGTTTTCTCCAAGTCGAACAATATCCGCCTCAACTAACCCATGTGTTTGCATCAACTCAGGTAATTCATCCTCGTGCCCTGTGAATGCAATCTGTTTCAGGAAAATATGCAACGATAAAAAGGATGATTGAATGAGAATGAGATGGGAGAACCCTAACTATTTCCGTACCATAACCCCCGAAGGCATATCAATTTACACACAACAGTAATACTTTCGAACCTTCGAAGTGAAGCATACTTGCATCCCCCTCAAAAAGCATTGCCGTGTCATAAAAAAACATGGCCAACATACCTTGCCATCGGTACACACTCCCACCACGCGCTTCTCAACGACCATCTCAGAAAATGCAACTGACTGCACAAAGGTTCCCACAAACACATGATCTAGGCGACTTTGATTACCCACGGGTAAACTAACATCTTCATCGAAGAAAGCACTATCCTTCCGATATGAGTAGGTGTCTGTCATTGTTTACAAGGTTTGTTTTTCTATAACAATATAAATTTATAAATACGGTAAATACAGACTATATGTGATCAAGTGTAGTATTACGTGCTGTGGTTATATACAATGATAAAATACTTTTATGAAAATATGTAAATACTGCGTTTGCTCTACTCTCTCTCTCACTACTTGCCGGGCAGTGCCAAGTGTCAGCTGCCACCCTCAACTCATCAGTGATGAGGGCATCAGGCTCTCGGTAACACTAGCATAGTTTATCACACAGTCATAAATACTATGCCGTTCAGTTCTTCACACTGTCAAGATAAAAAGCATTTGTATTGAAAAAAACATACATAAATACTCCCACTGTATGGAATTCCTCAATTTATCATTTTTTAAACTCAGCGACACTGGTGAGTCATACACAAATCTGTTTATCATTCTGTGAGTATGTATTAAATTTACGTATTATATCTATTTATCACGTTAAACAACGAGTCTAATAGTGTGTCTGAAAACAATTAACGACATTAACTACCATAATTTCAAACAAGACTTGGATAAAACACATCCTTATATAGTGATCATCGAATCGTCACGGCTGGGCTGGCTTTTGATGGTGGTGCTCCAAATTCAAATTCCTATGCGGGTGAGCTGGCAGCCAATAAATCGATAGTAAATGGCTTTTTACTCAAAAAGTTGCGAATATTTCAACATAGTAGACGCAAACTGGTAACTAGATACGAAAATACGTACATTGCTAAAGTGCTATACGGATTACTATTGGGTACTAAGGTGGAGATGACGGAATATGGTTTGCACAGCCTGTGATCGTAAGTAGTTACGACGTGAAACAGCTTTTGTTTAAAAAAAAATGAGGTACATATGTACTGTAAATACATATTTATTTTTGGACTTTTGGGATGTTTTTAATTTGGTTTTGATTGAGTTTTGACCCAGTCTGAACTTCTAAAGTCACCAGTGTCAGTGTGTCACGTTTCTTCACAACACAAGTTCAACAGTGAGTCATCACTCATCAGTCAAGTGACCATTGACCTGAGTGACTGAGTCCTGAGTCCTGAGTCCTGACTTTTGACTAGTCTGTCTCAGATAGGCAGATCAAAAAGGCTCATTAATGAGGACAGAGGACTCGTGAGGTGCAAATGGCCAAATGTTCAAAGGATTAGGATTTAAACAATAACTCATGATACAAATATAAAAATGAAGCATAAAAAAAAACATTTTTGTTTGATTTTGTTTATGTTGTTGAAAAAAATTATCAATTTTTAAAAACCCCATACATAAATACATAGCCTTCTTCTAAATAAATTGAGCAACAAAACATAAATATATAAATACATAAATACTTAAATACATACAAAAGGATAAGTCTGGGGAATTGTTTTGAAACAAAAAACAAGAAAAATAGAGAGAGCAGAAGACAGCGCGTGGTGCGGCAAGAACCCAGGGGCCAGGGGCCCTGCCCCAGGGCCCGGGCCTCAAGGGCCAAGGCCTCAAGACCAGCTGGAAAAGAGGGATAAACTGACAGATTGACACTGTTGTTTTTTCGAGTCTTGGGTCTTATAGACTCTTGTTGGTGACAACTGACACAAGTGTGAACTGTAGTGTGAAGTGAAAAATTGCTTGTTTGGTTTTATTAGGGTCACGGCGTGTCAACTGTGTGACTGTGTGCGATTCGCACCAGTTCGCCACGAACGAATCATAGCCTCCTAAAAATGATAAATTTTGAAGGCCACCTTTTACTTTATTTTAGAGGGCTCTGTGAGGAAATAAATAAATGTAAAATTCTAAGGCCGGGTTTGCTAACTTTGGAAAATATAGAGAAAATATAGCCCTAAAAATATAGAGGTATATTTTGGTATATTTCTTGAGAAATTTTGAAACTGTATATTCCCGCACAATTTCAAAATATGCTGCCAGGTGTATTTAAAATATTGTCGAATATTGGCATAGCAATTCCTTTTTACGAGTTGGCAAATGCGCAGAGCCGCAGACACACAAGAAATTCTGTTCTGGAGCCGAAAATTTGAAGACGGCGTTTTGATTGACATATATTAACCAGAGCCAGAGTTTTGATGTCAATCGGAGTAATGTGAGTGAAAGTTGGAGTAATTCGATAAATCACAACAAACAATTTCTTTCCCAAAGCAAAAAGAGGGTCTTCTATTAGACTTGAAGGAAATATACAACAAAACGAAATATTGTGTTGTATTTTTTGCGTCTCGAATAGCAGAATTTGATGAAGCCAAAATCGTCAGTACATCCGATTTCCAAAATTATTGTGCTGAAAAAGTATGGAAATCGATCCTCAATATTTTCTGAATATTCTGAAATCTTGACCAAAAATCCATATGTGTTAAGAAATACTGAAATTAGTTCCCGGAGTAACATGTTTTACTCATCTCAAAATTTATTTCCCTATATTTTGCAAAGTTAATAAAACCGGCCTAAAAGTTTAATAAAGCCAAAAGAACACTCAACAGTATCTAGTGTGTGTCCTATTTCTATATAAAACAAAACAAAAGTGCTAGGGTATGTATGTATAATATTATGAAGCCTTAGGCTTAGGGTACCCATGCCACTTGCCACTGCACATGACTATGTTCTTATTGGAGGCTATTTATGAACATTACACCCTAGAATAATATACATGGTTTTATCATGAAAATAGATCTTAACTACGAGCTGACATTGGGTTGAGTGCCTGAGGCACGCCAGTGACGACACGTGAAAGCTATACTTTAGCAAACCAAATTCCAGCAGGTTAGAAAAAAAGTAAAAATGACAGCCGACAGTGACGGAGTGACTTGAGTGACGACAGCCGACAGTGACCTGAGTGACGACACTCTTGACCCTCTCGAGTCTCGACAGCGGTGTCGGGTGTAACCTGTGTCATACTCATTTCCAACAAACTCCAACATCACTCACATCATCGTTTCGTGTCGTTTTGAGAGTGCACCATGTCGTATCACGTAACACGGAACACAGCGATTGCAAATATAACTTTGTAAACTTTACTTATGCGCCCTTTTCACTGATGTAATAATTAATCTTGTCTAGATTCTCGGCACACAAAGTAAATCTGAGGACGTAAAAGGGTATTTCTTGTCTCCTGGTCATGGCAATAAACGATCTATTCGAAACGCTGAAATTGTGGTTGCAGAGTCCAATGTGATAATAGTGTTAATCATGTTTAAATTGGTCTCACTTAGCTACATTACTGGCGTGTATAGGTTTATATTCATAACCTGCAGTGCAAGTAGATTCTCCATATGTTCATGAAACCCTGGATTGACTGTATAGTCAAATGCGTTGTAATCAAAGGGCCTCAATAGGCTGCAGATGAGAAAATAAATTACAATTCGAGAAATCAGTGAAGTATGCTTCACTTTCGCTGCACCAATCTCGTCACTGATTGAGAGTTATAAGGCGTAGGTGTTGTACTAATTTATCAGATGTGTAGTGCGGATAAAACTGCACATTCGATCAGTTTCAAAACATGTATACCCGTGGCATTTCGAATTTGCTTACCTTGGCCCGTATTGTGCGCATCCATACCGTTTGAAATATAGATAATGCGTGACGGGACGAAATGAATTATCGGTGGCCGAGTATTCGTTTGAGTGGGTAATGCAATATTTTTAACTGTACACAAATGCATTCGTATACATACACTTAATCTATTGTACGTATAAATTGTATAGAGCGAAAAACAGTTCACGAGTGAAAGATAAATCCTCCAGGAACACTGTAAATACATGATTTTCATGAGGATCCGAAACAGAACACTAGTATTAGGGCTTTAGGATTTAATCAGGACACTAGCATTCGATAGTTCGTTTATAACGGTGCGTATTTGCACATTTGAATATGAATATATGTTTATGATCAGGGGCAGGTCTTTCAGAAATGGGTGAGAATGTAAACTGAAGGACTAACCAACAATCCTAAATAATATCTTAACGACGAATTACTCTGCTGCATACTACCGGTTAATTTACTGTATATTGGAACGCCAAGATTGATCGTCGCCTATCGATCAAGAACATTCTGAAGGCTAAGTTGTGGGAAGGCAATACATGCATACTTCATACCAATTATAAAAGGCACAAATATATGTCTTCATTTAGTAATATCTATAGCAGGGTTATCTAATCGTAAAATCTTTAATGTTGTTTGACCTGGTGAACGTTTTCGAGACGAAAACAATTTCTTCCGATTGATTCACTCTAGCAATAAGAGGCACATTCACCCGGAGGTAATCCGCACACATACACAATTGATGTGTCGGCTGGCTGAAGTATATCTAACCTCATCAGCAAAACTACAGACCGAAAGTCTAATCGTTTCAACGCAAGCTATCAGTTTGTCGTGTTCGGGTGGCTGTTGGGTATAGCCTTGTAGATATGGTGCGAATAATGTCCAGCTGATCCTTGCTTTGTTGAGTGTTGGGATATCATAGCACACGGTACACGTGACTGAGTGCAGCATTTTAACGTCATTTTTGATCTCTAAACCAGAAACGGACTGAGATGTATATGAAGGCAGTGCACTGAGCAACCATTCTTCCGATCGCTGCAGGATGTAGATTCCATATCCAAACTAGTAATGTACCGATATCCAAGCGAAAGTAAAACCGGTACAAATACTAGAGCTATACCAGATCCATATACTTCCAACGTATCGTAATCATTGTTAGTACGATGTCCAAATCACCGATGTCCCGGAATAGCGGGTCAGCTAGACGGCATCGGGGCATTGTGACATTCAATGATGACTAAGATTGAGTGTGTGGCGCTCATCAACAAGCAACAATCCCCTCAAAACAGAAGACACCGATGTGGGTCGCATCGAGCCACAAGGAACTGCCAATACAGTTTGGCAGGCGATGCCACGGCCGCATGCACAATCAGCCCTGGCATATGCATGTACCTAAATCACCGTTTGTTTCCGCCAGTGGGAGATTCCTGTCTCTATCAGAAGGTCCTCCCACATATTCATCACGCGTTGACTCTTGGCCTGCAGAATCAGACAGTCCCCATCGGAGAACGCCAGCTTGATGCGGGGGCGCGTCTTGATACGCCCCGCCTGTACCTTATAGTCGCCGTAGTTCGGCAACACCACTGGGATGAACATCGTCATGGCAACGTGCTCGGGCGATAGCTCGTACACCCTATCTCCTAGAACTCCCGAGGCAAAGTCCTCGTACTTCTTCCACACACTCAGATAGCGTCTGTCGTGCAATGCGATGTATCGCTTGTTCCATGGGCCTGTGGTCATCATCAGTCCACCTCCGCCCTGAGCCCCAAAATTGAGTGACACCCAGCCCTGAGCGGACTGGTGTAGGGTCTCCAGCTCCGAGTTAAACAACTCGTTTCTCGTGAGCCACATGCGCGCTAGGGCGTCCTGGTAGCGCTTCAGCAGCGTGCTGCGGCTGCTGGCGCTGACAAACTCCGACACGCTGATCAGCCCGTCGCCGCTTTTGTCGCACGTCTCAAACTCACGGTCCACGACGACGTCAAAGTCCACCACGTCGCCCGCCACCACAATCATCAGAACACTCTCAATGAACACGCGGAACTCGCGCTTGTCAATAAACAGCGTGTGGTCACGGTCGACGAGATCAAAGCACAACTGCGCCATAACGGGCACGGGCAGGTCCAGCTTGCCGCTGATGCTCAGAAGGAAGTTGAGGTGGTTGATGCACTTGACTTGGTCGTGCATGAGGGTCTGGCGGCGTTGCTGCACCGTAGCGTCCGAGGGTCTGCTCATGGCCGAGGGGCGTATGCTCTTGAGTGGGCCCATGCCACTGGTCTTCCGACTGGCCGTGCCTTTGTTCGTGTCGTCGTTGTCCTTCTCCGGCAGCGGAGTGAGTCGGCGGGTCTGGGCATCCGCACCTGCAACCGCTCCTTCCATCTCCGCGCTACCCGTGCAGTTGCCATGGCGACCGTCTCCATAGCCCAGGTTCGACGGGCCTGGCTCGTCCACACCCACTCGCTTGGAATTGGGGGCGCTCATGCGGTTCACCCGTACTTCCGGAGGTGTGTGCATGGCTTCGGGCGGCCTGTGTGTCTCGTGGCTGCCCCCTGCACCCAACATCTTTGTCACAATATGTGTGAGGTTGCGGTTAGCAAAGCCCTTCTGCGCGTCGGTGGTGTTGCACATGCCTATAACCGGCTTCTCTTTCTTGGTGGCGCCAGAGGGCTCGGTCGGATCATTCTGTGCAGTCGTGCGCGTGCGCGTGTGCGTGTGCGTGGGTGTGGAGGGTGGCAGAGTTGTGTCAGTGTGCGTGGACGTGCTTGGTGTGCGAGCAGTTGGGTGACGGCGTGCGTCGCCCTCCCCACGCACACAGTCACTCGGGTGTATTCCAGTAGTCGTCTGCGTGCCACCAACCAATCTATTTTTAGAAACCGTCGATCTATTGATAGTGCCATCCGACACCCCCAAACCCTTCTTGCTGCCTCGACGCGTGCGACGTTGCTTGCGCTGCGGCCCTAAAGACGAGCCGAACACCTCTCCGTACTCCACAGCCAGATACACAGCCCACCCCAGCAGAAACAACACACACACAGATGCCCCGTGAACACCATACACACACGCCCCTCCCACCGCACCCATATACGGAAACAGAGTGTCGGAAAGCGTGCCGGGAGAGTGTGCGTGGGCGGATGCGGTGGTGTGAGTGTTCGTGCTGTTGGTGCTGTGGAGAAAGCGGTACGGGTGTTCGTCCACAGCGACGGTGTGCGCGTCGAGCTCACTGTCGTGCGCAGCGACTGTGGCCACAAACCCCACACTGCGAGCGGGCACACGGCCCTTCTTCATTGCCGGTGTATGCGACGGCGTAAGCGCTGAGGTTGTCGTCTCTGCGTGCACAGAAGCCTGCGAATCCGTGCGTTCAGACACCCTGGTGTGCGTGGTGGCGGATGGGGTGGTGTGTGTGTGGGGTGGTGGGGTGTTGGTCTGTGTGCTTGAGTCAGATGGCAGTGGGATTTGCCCGAGTGTCTCGGTGTCTGGGTGCTGTTGTGTTTCGTTAGCTGTCCGTGGCAGTACATGTGTGTGTGTGTGTGTGATGTGCGGTCGGGTCTGTGTCACTGACTCACTATCACCCATCTCCGACACTCTATCCGACAAATCCGACGCCCTGACAGACATATCCGACACAGACGCGTCATCCGCGTACGACATGTCGAGCTCGCTGCCAAAGATATCTGACACGCTGCCGTCGTCGCCTGACAGGCTGTCATCTGTACTGTACACACAACTCTCGTCATCAGTGTCATTGGCCCCCGAGAAAGCCCCCCTGTCTCCATGGTCCATTGCCTTACCACCGTCGTCCGTGTCTGCATGCTCGGTACAACGGGTGCGTTTGTTTGGGTGTGTGCGTGTATGGTCCCGTGCGCTGGGGCGTTCGTGGCTGTACGCATCTACTAACGAGAGTGCCGCTTCACAATCCATGGCATCGACAGCCGAGGATCCACTGATGATACCGACGGCTATCGTATGTCCTTCTGAGGCGTTATGTGGGTGCGTGGGCGTCTTCTTGGTGACAGTACGCAACGCCGATGGCAACTGCTTCAGCTTTCTCCCCACCGAGTCGCTCCGGCTCTGGGGGTGCGCGCCCTCGTCGTTGCTATGGTAACTGCCTATGCTGCTGGTGTCCGTGTCGTTACCATCCTCCGCCCCGCTGCTAAAACAGATATCACTGCTGCCTGTCCGGTACATCTCCCCCTCCCTATCTAGCATCTGCCGTAGCACGTTCCTGCGTGTGGGAGTATCCCTACCGCTGTGTGTGCCTGAGCTCCTCCGCCTACCCCCGCCATCCGCTGCGCTGCGGCTAACGACTGTGTCTGTGCTGCGCCCGCTATCCCCTTCGCTTATATCGTCCAGGCTGATCAACGGCTCACTGGACCTGCTCCACCGCAGACTCCCACAGCGCTTGCGCATGCCAAAGGCGGAGTTGAGGGCACTAGTAGATGCTCTGGGTATGACGTGTGTGTTGGGTGTGTGGTGTTGTGTGGGTGTGTGGTGTAAGTCTGGTGTGCTGATAGACCTGTGTGCCGTGGGTGTGGTAGTGCCTCGGTGTGTAGGGGCTGTGTAGTGCTTGTTCCTGGGGTTGTGTCTGTGGGTGAGTCCGTGCGTGTACGGGTCGCCTTTGCTTCTGACGTGGTTGGTGGGTGCTGCCAGCACATGCGCCCTGGCGTCCTTCTCGGGGGCTGTGTCTCTGATGACACTCTGGCTGCTATAGTTCGCTGGGTTGCTACTGTGTTGCATATCGTGACTATTGGTGTTGTTGCTTTGCGCCACCTTCGTGTCGTGGGTGTCGGGGTGCGTGTGTGCAGCGCTGTTAGGGTTGTTGCGGAGGGGAGTGGTGTCTTCTACACATGGACTCACATCAATACTCGCACTCGCACTTGCACTCGCACTGGTGCCACGCACATCACTGGTGTCAATAGTGTCATTAGCGCCAAAAGTGTCACGAGTCTCATAATGCGCATTGGTGTCACTGGTGTCAAACGTGTCAGCATTTACCTGTTGCCTGGGGGCCGCAACATCTCCGGAATCGAACGCCTCAAACCGTTTGGGCTCAGGCATGGTCATGGTAGCGCCCATGGCCAGACCCTTACTTTTGCCCTTTGCACACGCCTGTTTGGTCACCTTCTCAACCTCCTTGCACACACACGCTGCCTTGTCCACACAGGAGCACAGCGCGTCAGCCAGTTTGCCTGGTGCCGTCTGCGTAGACACCTCCGCCATCTCCATAGTCCCGTGCGTCTGTGTGTGTGTCGTACAGTGTCTATCCCCTTCGGCACAGTCCAAACAGATCCCCTGCCGGGGAGGCCCCACGTGTTGGGCCACAAGCGTGGCGTCTCGGCCCTCGCCCAACGGCACCTCCCAGTCCTCTTCCACAACCAGGACATCTGAGCCGAGTGACTGACTGTCAGGATAAACACTGTCTGTTGCGTCGTTGGTAATGACTTCGTCTGAGTTGTCGTTCCGGCGGTTTTTGACCAGGTTGCCGTCGCTCTGGGTGTGCATACCAGACTTTCCCAGGTATGAGAGGGTGCGCCTGTAGATGGGTGTAAAACTATTAGCAAAGCAGTCATGGGCAATGGATTGACATTACATATACACATGGCATGCACTCGTGTAGCACAGATACATGTGCTCATGTGAACCACTACATACACACACATTCATCTGGACGACCATGGTACTGTTATTTCGCGCAGTGCCTGAAGCAAATTCACACACACACACACACACACACATATATATATAT